AATTTTTAACTGTTTTCCAATGTTTGAACTATTTTTGCATAGACTAAAGTACAAAGCAGTGAAAATAATCAATAAGCAATCGTTCAATGAACGGAATTGCACAAAATGCATGATCGCACCGGCTAGTCTGGTGCGCGTTGCTATTTATTCCCTTTAAGATGATAACGGAAACATTCTCTTCTTTTTCCTAATTTCTTCAAAGTGCCTGCAGCTGTCCATACAATTCTAGCTTTGCTTCTTTTGAACTCTTACTACCTTTCTTCAGCGATTGCAGTCCAACTCCAGTCTGATTTATCTGTGAAGGAGAAATATTTCACATTTCTGGGCTTATCGATTTGCAATTTTTTTACCTGAAATAGCATTTTCGTAGCTGCGGAGATCCTGGAATGCACACATAGCTGTTTCATCTTGGGAATCGGTAGAGCACCATGTGGCATTCACGTCATGTGCAAACCACGGTAACCTGAAAGGATATTAATCAGCTGGGGAGAAAACAAGGAATATTGACGGAATTGCGTCAGCGGGAAATGATTTTCTAAACTTTCTGGTGTCAGATTTATTCGTCGAGAACTGACTTGCCTTTGTTCTTGAATTGCCCTTCATCTATTTTTCTGCCCTATTTTGGCCAGTGACGACCTGTACTGAGCTTAATCGCCAGATCTCTACATGTACGGTTTTTATGGAGGTTTTCAACGCAAAACATGGGCGAGGAGAGGAAGGTATCCCGACTTTCCTAACGTGTAACCATATTAACAATCAGACTGCCCATCAGACGAACGGAGGACAGATTGTTGTTGTGAACACACATAAAAATGAATTCTTTTGAGTAGGATTTGTTCGGCAAATACTACCTTCAAAAAGTAGAAGGCAATAAGCAAGGCTTTGATGAAGTCCTCGAGCTACTTTTTCGGAAGGGATGTTGCCTCGTGTACAGTTGATTGGCGCGAACTGAAACTACAAACTAAATAGTATTTACCCGATGTCTCAGTAATTGCTAGTATCGGACCCCGTATAGTTTTTCGGACATTTACTACAAGTTATTTGTTCTCGTGACCTGAAATTTAATATCTGCAGAACATATAACTCTCTTTTTGAACTTCACGATATTTTTTCTTTTAGATCTTTTTGATATTAATGCGTAAGAAACTTTGTTTTTCGGACTTCATAAAAGCCTTGCCTACTGGCTTTTCAATGTATGAGTTTGTGCAGGCTTCAATCGTTGGAAGTCGAACAGTGGATGACGACGTTACATGAAAAAAGGCCTGAGAAACCGCGCTACCCGTTTGTGTATGACGCAGCCATTGAATCTGAACCTACACTGCTAACATTTGATGGAGTAAAGGTGATCCGCTTTTTTTTATTTTGACTCTCAACAAGTGCATCGATTTCTTCAGATCCTTGCAACTTACATCAGTAAATGCACCCGAAGCTACATCAGATCCAGTCCTTGGTCGTAACTGCCGGGATCATTGTTCCTGGCGCGCTTGTATAGGCGGTATTTCAGAAAATTGTTTCACTGTGAATCCTCTCGCCTTTGGTACAGCTGGAAGCATTAGTCTTTGGCGGAACCTTGTTTTGCACTTGAGCTCTGTTCTGCAATCAGTGGTACATTAATTTTGCATGCCGTACTAAAATGTGAAGGCGAGTGGCTCGATTGCTCTTTGTTTCGTCCACGGTGCAAACAGTCCCCATTTTCACTAAACTATTTAATTCTACTGGGTTCAACATGTCAACATAGCTACAGAGAAGCGTAGATTTGTGAACTTACCCTCCCGATACAACTCGATATTACATGAGTATTGTTTAACAGCCGGCTTCATCTATATTTTGCCTTTTATCCTTCTCGCATGATCAGCCAACTTCCTTCTGACTCACAACAAACATGGTAATATAAGCAACAGTAAATTAGGGCCCGCAGCAGAATATGCGTATTGAAAGCCACAATGGTGCATGGCTATTTGATTTGCGAAAAAAACTGTGTTAATTTTTGATTTTTTGGCTTAAATATTGAGCGAGATTTTGCTTCATGCAGTTGTTAATTAGAGTCAAAATGGAGAGTACAAATTCAGGTGGTAAATTTTTAATTTTTTGATCCCTTCGAAGTGCTTATCAGTTGTCGTTCCGTCAAAGTGCATTTTCGCCCTCCACCATTACAGCTGGCACATTTTTGATTACTGTAAGCAAAGCTGTATTATCAGATGGCCATGTCTTTCGCGTCCTTGCCTGTCAAACTACGAGAATGCATCTGAAAGGAAATTCCTTCAGTATTAGCGCAAGTAATTTTATCGATCTCGGGCTGAGTAGTGTGCGCTTTACGAGAATTTTTAATGAAGACATTTTCGTGCCCATTTCTCAGTTGTGTTTTTAGCGTTGTTTACCTTCTGGTTCATTCCGTAAAACTTATACCACTTATGAGGAAGTTTGCGTTCCTGCTATTGATGGATCTCAAATCAAAGAAGTGGACCATATTAACGTCAGTGATCTCGATGAGGTTGGCCAAACAGCTTTTGTTTGAAACTTGTAAATCATAGTGTGCAAGATGAGCTCGCGTTTAGTCTAAGCGAGAAAGTTTCGATGAATGACGCGTTTTAATTTCAAACTTAAAATTTAACTTGTCTTGGATTTAAACTTCATTTTCAAATCTGTTTTTGCAGTTGGGAAGGAAGTGTTTCGAAGGCATCGAAAAGCTGAATATTATTCAATCGCTGGTATTCAACCAGGCTTATAAATCTCGCGAGAATTTGCTGATATGCGCACCAACTGGAGCTGGTATGGTTCAGCTTGCTATGATGCCTTGAACAGTTGCTAGTTCGTTATTAAGTGCTTTCACTGCATTTATCACTTTCATTGTTCCGAGCTCAAAACCCGCCCTGTCTCCAAGTATCTCCGTGAGGGCGTTCACTTGCATCTTGCCATCTCACTCGTGGTTTTCTTATTATCCGGTTTTCATTATAAATACAGTTATAAAATCCGTATTGCTCACCAACTGTTTTCGCTCAAAAACCACTGAAAATAACTAAAAGGATGAGATTACCGGAAGTTTAGGGAATACAGGGTTTAACCCAGGCTGGAAAGCACCAGGCGGGCCGGTGCGATTATGCGTTTTTGCACTTCTCGTGCCGTAG